TAGCCTCAAATTAAAGGGAAGCAGATGTAGGACTGAGGTCAGGAGGAACTTCTTCACCCAAAGGGTTGTGAATCTGTGGAATTCCCTGCCCAGTGAAGTGGTTGAAGCTACCTCACTGAACGTTTTTAAGGCAAGGCTAGATAAATTTTTGAAAGGTAAAGGAATTAAGGGTTATGGTGAGTAGGCGGGTAAGTGGAGCTGAGTCTCAAAGATCAGCCATGATCTTATTAAATGGCAGGGCAGGCTCAAGGGGCCAGATGGCCTACTCCTAGTTCTTATGTTCTTATGTCCTTCTGTTCTATGTACCCTGAGGCAGACCCCTTAAAGAGTTTCGTACCCTTCCTGGTCAGATATTCATTACTACTCTCACTTTGTCAAGGCCTGCAAATGTATTGTTCTTTGGAGGAAGCAGCAAAGCCTCCCATTAACGTTTTGTGACAGGAGCAAGTAAACACATTGGACACAGTAAAAAATCTGAAAATGCCTTGGTGTACAAAGTTAAAAAAGCAAAAGCTTGAGGGCACAAAGATTGCATGTGGAAGTTGAGCTAAATGCAAAGAATCAGCAAGACCCTACATTTGTCGAGGAATGGCAATCTCACACAGACTGCCACTCTGCCTTTTTTAGTAAAATAAAGGAAATTGCTCTGCATTTCTGACAGGAGATTTTGATTGGGGCTCCCTCAGAAACACTGAGCCATGCTTTCACAATGACACATTTTTCGAAGTGCAGAATTGTTGAGGAAAGCAAACTATAACCCTTTTCACAGGAATAAGCTGCATAGCCTGAAATTTGAAGGTGCAGGTGATTAGGTTACTGGGAAGGTCAGAGGGTATCGGGTGGGAGTAGCTGGTCTGGAGCAGGCAAAGTGAGGAGGTGGACAGCTCTGAGGATGTCAGGTCAGACCCTTGAGATGTAAGGATCTGGGGAACATGTTGTTGGAGTGTGTGAACTAACTATGGGGTCAGCTAAATAGTTGCTCAGGAGCTAGACTATGTACTTAACAATCTAACTTTTCCCAAGTAACTATTCACTTTCTTTCATCAGAACATTCAGATTTAAATGAAGACTTCTGGAGGTTCCAGGATCAGAGGAAATGCTAAGGAGAATCTTCAATTTCCAGGCAATTCTTTTGGAGTCTATGATGGGAATTCTGCAGGGTTCCCTTTCAAAACTTCTATCTTCCCTGGAATAATGATTGGCCATTGAAAAATCCAGGTCAATTTTGTTTTCCCCCTCAGCTCCTCAATATTCTTGAGCAAAATATTGATCATACTGAAGATTATAGCTCACAGGAATAGAATATATTCACAAACCTAATAATCTGATACAGTGCAGCTCATTGGCACATCAAAATATATTTCAATACTATGCATGATCCAACCACAAATACTGCACACTTACCACAGATTCTATCCATATCCCCACCACAGTTCCATGCTGAACCACACTCCAAGTTTGGTGTCAGCTTCAACTCTGTGCCGAATTTCTAAACTCTCACATCATTTTCGTTCTGATGACTGCCTTCCCCTTACCTTATAAAAACCCGAAAGAACTGCAGATGCTGTAAATCAGGAAGAAAAACAAAGTTGCTGGAAAAGCCCAGCAGGTCTGGCAGCATTTGTGAAGGAAAAAACAGAGTTAACGTTTCGGGTCCAGTCACCCTTCCTCAGAACTAGCATTACTGGACCCGAAACATTAACTCCGTTTTCTCCTTCACAGATGCTGCCAGACTTGCTGAGCTTTTCCAGCAACTTTGTTTTTGTTACCGGAATGCTCTCCTGGTTTGTTTCCACAACTTGAACTCACTTAAAGGTCCGCTACTTGTAACTAATCCCTCACCAAGAAACGTTGATCTGTCACCCTGCCATAACTAAACCATGTTGACTCCAAGTTCCTAACATTTGAAATTTAAACTATTCTCTGGTTTAAATCCATTAACATCATACATTTAGTGCCAAACCTCTTTATGCATGAAGCTACTCAAATTCTCTTCTCTGACCTCATCATTTTTCTAATCCCTCTTCTCAACATGTATTGGAGAGCATTTCGTGAATACAAAAGACTCCCCTATCCCACCCAATCTTCTTTTGAGCACAACACATCAATGAACCCTTCTGTTACATTCACCTCCATGCCGACATCTTTGGGGGAAAGAGTCCACTTTCATCAATACTCTCTTCCACCTGGATCCCTCCCCTAGATGTTACCTGCACTGACGTTTTTTCTTTTTAAAATCAAGAACTGTTAGCAAGCCATCAACTATCTTATTTTCTCTGCTGTCCTCACCCACTCTAGCCTGTTTCCTGGCCCTGATCATCACCTCTTCACTAAAGACATCCGATACCTCTACACCATCTCCCAGATAGTCTTCACTTCAACCTTGAATAGAAACCATTTACAATCCTCTATACCCACCAACCTCCTCTGTCTGCTTCTCCTTCAGCTCTGCTCACTTTGTCCAAAAAAGAAAGTATGGTTATAGGTACCTGCAAAGGTGTAATGCCCATCTTTTTGCAGATTATGTGTGAACATTGCTTGTCCTAATCGTAGATATTTTATAAACTTTTAGAGTTGAGTTCAATAACAGCAATTCTGTTCTCCATTTTGATACTTTCATCTCTCCAGTATCTCTACCTGGTTTTCACAAAATCATAGAATTATTATGGTGCCATTCAGTCATCATATCTGCACTGGTTCTCCAACTAGCATTGATTTTTTTTTGCCAGTTGCATGCCTATTTCCAATATCTTTGCACGTGTTTCCAATCAATGCTTGAATGCCTTAATTGACTCTGCCTCCAGGTAATGCATTCTGAATCCAAACCACTTGATGTGCAAAAAAGTAGTCTGCACATCACAATTACTCCTTATACAAATCACCTTACATCTGTGCCCTCTTATTTTCGATCCTTTTACAAGAGGAGCAGGTTCTCCCCATTTACTCTTTAGAGGTCTCATGATATTAAGGACTTTTATCACATTTTCCATTAGCCATCTTCTCTCCAAGAGTAACAGTTACAACCTCTTCAATCCACCCGCATAACTAGAGTTCACATTTTTGCTGAGAGTCAGAGTTGACCTATATTCTACTATGACACCTACCTTGGACCAATACTTTCCCTCTTCTGTTCAACTGTTCCCATTTCCTTTATCTTTTGGCTTAGAATACCTTTGACTCCCAATCTTTAACATGCTTTAAAACTTCACAGAACTCTTTTGTTCCACTCACCACAAAACCGCCTCTTTCACAATAAATAACTCATCACATTTCCAGCTCTCATTAATATAACTTCCTCAGAACTAAACTTGAAAATTAACTCTGATTTTCCATCCACAAACAGAGATCAGATCAATAGATTGGCTCACTGGAGAATCAACAGCATGGACAAAGTTTCAATTTAAGGGGCCAGTTAGGTCTGATGAGATAGAAAAATAAATCACTCAAAGACTTGTAATTTTTTTTAAATTCCGCGGATACTCCTTGAATGTACTGTACTGAAAGCAGAGATATATAAAATTTTGATCATTCAGGAAAATCCAATCAAGAAAAATCAGTCATGATCAGATTAAGCAGACTCAAAGGACCATACAATCCACTCGTATCCCTATTTCTTCTGTTCTTATGTACCGTGCTCCTTTCATTTCACCTACAGAGGCTGTGCCTTTAATCATCCAAATCACACTTTCTGGAATTCCTTCCATTTGTTCCTTTTCCACTCCAGTTACATCCCTTAAGGATTAAAAACCACTTTGACCATCCCTCTCAAAATCTTTGATTCAGCATGTTTGCTTCAATACCTCAATGATGTGTCTCAATGTTTTCTTTCATTAAAAGATGCCATGTAATGTAAATGTTAATGTATAATATTGAACAGACAGAATGTGGCATGGTGTGGAATTTAAAGCCAAAATATTGAAGTGTGACTTCAGGAAAGGTGTCCAAAGCTTTAAGCAGAAACTCAAAATTGATATTTTTTAGAAGATTTCAAAAAAAAAAAGCAGCAGCTGGGGAGAGACAGTGGAGTTGCTGTAACAAAATCATAAAGTACTGAAAGACAAGAAGGTGGATACAAAAGCTTGATTAGTGGTACAAATATGAACTGGATTCAAAATGAACAGTCTGTGAGGAAAAGGATTGAAAGTAGCAGAATGTCTTGCCTTTCCTGCTAGTTAGCTGTGGGAAAATGTTTCAGCGAAAGCTGTTCATGCTGCGAACACTAGTATTTTCAAAGAAAATTGTACAGCTATCTCGGCGAAAAACAAAATTATAAAAATGATACTGTGACAGTTCTTCAAGTCTCTTGTCACAGGTACCAGACAATTGGCATCAGTGTCCATTTTCAGCCACGAAGTTGCTATTTATCTGAAGACTCCAAAGAAAAGAAACACTCAATTAAGCTATTTCAAGTGGCCATGTATAAACTGAAACAATCAAATATAACTCTCCTTATTTCGATTAAGGAAGAATCTTGCATCTGAAATATTATAACTTATCTGTTTTAGATTACTAAATGACTATGTATTTTTAAATATGTTTTTAATACGTTGCAGATATACAACATTTTCAGTTTTTTTTTCCCCAAATACATCTATCATTGCTTTGTTGGAGGGTACTGGTAGAGGGAGGAAGTTTGAGAGCACAATCTGACACGATTAAATGATGAACATGCGTGCTTATCATGAATGTCAACTATTTCACTTTTGAATACAGGATTAATAACAAAATGTCCATTTTATGGCAGCATTGAATAACACCCAATCTTCTAAAGTCCTGGATTGAGCCAGACAATTTTCTTTAATTTTAAATTTTACATATACTTGCATTGTTGGGCGAGCAAGTATGCAAAATTCAACCACAGGAATGGATTTGATATTATTCTCTCAATCTTTTTAAATTAAAAATTTTAAAACATTCAATTGAAAATGATAGGAACTTTGGCCTCAAGGAAAAAAATCAAAAAATATTTAATTGATGTTAATGGAGATTAAGCCAGTTACCTTTCCTGAGTTTAATCTCTGAACTCTTGTTTCACAGATTTTCTTCACGAACAGTAAACTGTTTATCTGATTCTTTATAGTGCTTATATCTGAAATTAAAACAGCAGTAATTCAAAACATGGTTAACTCAAAGTTCTAAACTTATTTAATACATTTAAGTATCTTTCATAAAATAATTAACTAAAATATATACACAAATTCAAGTTAAAAATAATACATAAGAGAAACTGTAATGTTAATGACTAACTTAGCAAAGCTTAAGCCACATTGTATAAAGGAGTGAATTGGCAAAAATAATTCATTTATTTTTATTTCACAAATGCAACTATCACTGGAAAGCGCAGATTTGTATGGTTTTCACGTTCTAGACAAACTCCTGTCCAAACAACAATCTTCTTCATTAAATATTCAGGCAAGTTCAATAACAGAGGTTGACCTAATGGCTCAAGTTTTATTTAAAATATGGTACTTTCATTTGGGTTAGGGGAAAAACAGCTTTTCTAAAAAATCCTGGAATTGGACATTTTAATTGATACACCACAAAATTTAGTATGTTGAGACTGATTTTGCTGAAAGTGAGGGAAAGGATTGCCCTTGGTATGCTCCATAGAAATAACTGGTACAGCAAAACAAAAAGTGAACAAGATTTACCTTGTCAACATTAGTCAGAGGAGCAGGACACAAATTCAGGAGAAAATGGGAGATCTGCAGAAAGCTGTCAGTCAGACTTGTAATAACAGGTAGAAGAAATGAAAGCTTCTTCTTCTAAGTTCAGGCCTGGTACTAACTTCATCACGACTCAACGAGATGGTTAATCTTTGAAGTATCCTACAGAAATCCATCACTATAACATACTTTGTTCCTCAACATCTTCCAACCAGGAGCAGACTACGTCATTTTCTATAACTTGAAACGGTGTTTTCACAAGCAAAGACAATTATTGATCATTTTCATTCATTATCCCTGGCTGCTGCTACTGCCTCATGCCCACTATTTCTTTAGAAGTTGTGTACAGATGGTGGGTCATTTTATCAATATAGGATTCACACTAAAACAGATTAACACTTGATTACTCTTAAGCATGAGTAATACCATTTCATCAAGATCAGTTGGGTAGATTCTGTTTAAGCATTGCTGTATTAGAACTAGTCTTTGTTAGATTGGTCTTTAAAGAAAAAAAAGCATCAGGGGTTGCTGTCAGGAATTGTTCAAATCAAGCATGTGCAAGAAGAAGGATTTGTTCCAGGAAACTTGCACCATTTCTTAATTCATTTTTGGGACATGATCACCACTGGAAAATCATTGCCCATTCCTGACTGCCTTGAAGAGGCAGCAGCAAGCAATTTGCTGCAGTTCATTTGTTGTAAGCACACCCAATGAGCTGTGAAGAAAGCAGGTCAGATTTTAAAAACATGAAAAGAACAATGACATAATAACAAGTCAGAATGACATGGAGCTTGGAGATTAAATTTGCAGATGATACGCTTGATGTCCTTGTTCTTCCAGATAGTCGTGGTCGCAGGTCCAAGCCTGAATGTTATCCATGTGCTGCTGTGTGCAGACATGGGTAGCTTCAGTTTCTGAGAAATTGCGATTGCAGTGAACACTGTGCAATCATCAGCAAATCATATTGTTGCCTGCAAATTACATCTGGCTGTGCAAATGTGCCCATACCAACTATATCTATAAATTGCACAGGTAAGGCTGTCATAACGCAGTTTACAACAAGACACAAACTGGAGACATTTGCAGCAGACTGCTCATTGATACAAATTCCAAGAGCTGATAAACAACGAGATTTCAGATTCAGATCGAGATTGAAGTGAAGTGATGACTTTGAAGCAGCAAGAGGTTTCAACAATCCAAAACCAAAATAAAGCAAAGAACCTTGAAGCAGGACTTCAAATGTTGTTCAATGCAGTCAAGCGAACCAGCCAAGGAAAAGCTCTACAAATCTGATGTAATCTGAGCAAATGTAGATGGATCTCAGTTGACAAGAAATTAGTATCCCAAATGTTACATTATACTAAATGTTTCAGAAAGTGGACATCAGCAGCCAAGCTTTTTGGCTGTCATTAGAACTCAAATGGATTGCAGAACTTTCTCACAAACCACCACAAGGATGTTTAGAGGTTCTTGAATACCTACTTTCTTTTTCCCCCCACAGAAACCTCGCGGCCAGAAAATAGATTTGGCAGTCAAAGTCACAGATTTGGTTTCAAGAATTGTACAGTAACAATGGATCAATGCAGAAAAGGTGCATTAACAGTTAGAACTCGGTTTTCAAGTTGAAAACATTTCCTCATGATTTGAAAAGAAAAAGCACCAGGCACAGCAAATGGAGGTCAGAGCTCTTAGTTGCAGATATGGAGAGGAAAATGCTGCAGGGACCGTTTTGCTATTTCTTTGTGAAACAGAAGGTCAGGAAATTAAATGAATACATATTGGTTAAGAACAACGTGTTCACCATTCTTCCTGGTTGCAGTATTGCTTCTGTACCAACATTTATTTTGCTTGATGTCTGCACCTTACTCTGGGCTCAAATTTGAGTCCTCTCTAAAAGTGAGATAGTGAAAATCATACACTACCCTCTTGACTAACATACATATCCATATAACAGGATTCTGCTTGGCATCAATAAATGCCATTGCTACACACTGACGCATGGGTAAACCAGTTCTAATGCCTTTCCAATGAAAGATACATCAAATCAACTTACTTTTGCTGTCTGTCCTCAACTTTGTATCTATATTTTCTTTTGTTTTATATATCTGACATTTTGTAATATGCCTTCTGGAATTAACTTTTTTTTAAACCACTTCTGCAGTAACCATCTTGACTACATTTTGGCTCCATATGGATGATCCTTTATTTATCCATGTACAAGACACACAATCCATTCAGTGTCATGACGTAACCAGGAACAGTAAGTAAGTAATCAGCAAGCTGTTACAAATACATAAAGATGATGACCAATTTTACTGACTACTATTCAGGAGAAAAGCAATTCATACCAGGTTTTGTCATTAACAGAATAATTATTTATCATAATATTCTTAATTTTAAACAACCGGCAGAGATTAAAAATAATTCCTAATCTACTCCTGCACAACTTAAACTACACCCCTTTTAAAAGCATGAATTCATAAATACTCATTTACAATGAAGACATATAGAAGTCATAATTTAACATACATAACGGGTGGAAAACCTGTGGGTGGGGAAGAAAAGTATGAAGATAAAAAGTTCAGATCAGAAGGATGGGTTAAATTGTCTCTCACAATTTATTCTGATTTTTTTGGCATTACAGATACTAGCATGTCATTGAAGTAATGGTTGTTTTTACTTTTACAACATACTAGGTCTTTTCTTCTCAGAATTCTTTCCTCTTGTTTTTTTAAATCTCTTTTCACCCACACAGAAGGGGGCAAATTGTCTCCAGTTCAAAGGGTGTCTCTGGCAGTCCTGCATTTACAATTTTGCAACAAAATGAAGCTCAGCCAATCAGACAGCTGTCATCTGGCAAGCTTTCCTCAGAGCGAGAATGCTGTAAGCAACCAGGTAGGCTCAAGGCAACTGAATAAGTGAGTGATAAAGAGTGTAAGCGAGCATCCGTGAGATATAATCTTGCCTAGTCTGTGAGCAAGGTTCCCTTGCAACAACACTGCAACAATAGTTGCTGGTGTGACTTGGGGTGCAGCATGGCTATGCAGCAGTGTGGGTCAAGTGGATCAGAGACATGCCACAATGATGCTGAGGGTTGGTACGTCTGATGCTTAGGTCAGTGAATGTGGGGTACATGCTGCTGCTGCCAACGAAGCATGCCCCAACATGCTGGTGTCGAGTGTCTAAAATAGAGGTCTTGAGATGGAAGAAGTGAGCTGGAGTCACCAGACATCCGCTCACTTTCATGACAGGAATATTTGGCACCTTGTTTCCCCATAGCAAGTACTAAGATAGGAAACTGTGAGGTGAGATCTGGAGTTAATGAGGCTGACAACAAGCGATAGCTCTTGTTAATAGACATCTTACACCTCACTCACAAAAAAAATCTCATTTCCATGTCCAGGATTCTGTTGGAAAATAAATCTGTTGCTCTCAATCTCAAGAAAGACCCTATTAGATTTCTCACAATTTTCCCAGATTTCTTGGGAGAGTTTACATCATTTAGGCCTGTATTCAACTCTGTCCTTTGTCTCAAAGTATCTTCCTCACCGTGTCAAAAATGAACACAAGTCTGTCACAGCTAAAAAATGTGCACCACTTGACTTTTCCAAGTTACAAAGCTCTGCTGGCATTTCACCTATATAGCAATGTCCAACTTCCTTTTCAGCTTATAGTCCAAAAAGGAAAAATGTGTTCCTCTACATCAATAATTCCTCTACTTGTCATCAAGGCAGCACAACCTATTGACTCCAACAGAATGTGAGAATTTTTAAACGGCAAGCAAAACAGCAAAGAAACAGGTATTTACCATCACCAGC